CTTTCCATGTAGGTGGTGGAGGGGATAGTTTTTGCCAACTCCTTGGTTCTTCATAGTTTTAATAAACTTTATTTCTCCAGAAAGATGTATTGCCCTCTGTTTTGCATCCTCTCCAGTTAGAGAAGTGTGTACCATGAGGTAGTTGGAGTTAATGACTGAAGAATTAGCATGATCATTCTGAAGAGCAAGAATTGCTGCACTGCAGGGCGGAAATGCAGAAAGAGTGTATTCCCCTCTCGCACTGACAATACTGAAGAGTTCCAGAAGGGCCGAGGGGAACTTTTGGTCCCTGTAATCATGACTTGGAAGCTTAGGATAGAATAGTAAGTGCCCTGAACTAGACAGTGTTTGGTGTGGTCAGGTCCCTGTGCAGGTAAGTTTCCTGAATGTCCTGCAGGAGTTGGGCTCTCTCCTCTCTCCTGTGGGGAGGGACCTGATGGGTGGGGTTTGATTTGTTACAATATCTGTTTTACGTTCTGGTGTTTTGGCCTCATGGCATGTGGGATCTTAGCTCCCTGACCAGGGATCAAACTCGCACCACAAAGTTGTAATCACTGGACCACATGCATTCTTGGTCAGTCATGTCCAAGTCTTTGCGACTCCATGGACTATGGCCTGCCAGGCTCCTCTGCCCATGGGATTTTCCAGGCAAGAATACTGGAGTGGGTTGCCATGCCCTCCTCCAGGGGATCTTCCCAACCCAGGGAATGAACCTGCATCTCTTATGTCTCCTACATTGGCAGGCGGGTTCTTTACCACTGGTGCCATCTGGGGAAGCCCACGCATATACAGTGCAGACTCATGACAGTCTCCAGTACTGATGAGGATGTGAGCAGCTGGAACGTCATTAGTGGAAAACAATTTGACAGTTTCTTCTAAACATGTACGTATCATATAAGCCAGCAGATCCATTCCCAGGTATTTATCAAAGAAGAATGAAAACTTGTTTTACACATAAGTTCACATATTTATAAATTTTACTCATATAGTTGTATAGTATTTGTACAATTGAGTCTCAACCTGCATCTGTGCGTGTCATACTAGAGACGTGTGTCATATGGGAGATGCGTGTCATACGAGAGATGTGTGTCATACTGGAGATGTGTGTCATTTTCCTATCTGTAGTACGGAAAAATGACACATATCTCTACTATACTCAAACAGATTCAATTCAAGGAACAAACTGCTGATTTGCCCAATATTATGCATGGATCTTAAAGGTGTTTTGGTCAGTGAATGGAGCTGGGCCTCAAAGGCCACATAATGTATGATCACACTTGCATGAAATTCTGGAAAAGGTAAAATTGTACAAACAGAAAATATATCAGTAATTGCCGGGGGGTTGGGATGGAGAAATTACTGATTACCAAAGAGGAAGATAAAGGAATTTCGGGGGTAGTGGAGCTGTTAAGTGAGAAAATGTGGTGGTAGGTGACAAACAACTGTCTGTATTTGTTAAAACTATAAGAACTGTAGGGGCTTCCCAGGTGGTGCCAGTGCTAAAGAATCCACCTGCCAATGCAGGAGACTTATGAGACTAAGTTTCAATCCCTGGGTTGGGAAGATCCTGGAGAGGGAAATGGCTACCCACTCCAGTATTCTTGCCTGGAGAATTCCATGGACAGAGGAGCTTGGTGGGCTACTATCCATTGGGTCTGTAAAGAGTCAGACATGAAAGAGTGTACACACACACACACACACACACACACACACACACACACACACGAGAACTGTAAACCACAGAGTCAATGTGACTGCATGTCAAATGATAAAAACCATCACCCAGGAGGTGGGGAGAACCCAAGAAGGCACACAGGCTGTGACAAAGGAGTGTAACTGTACAACAGATGAACGCCATAACCACACTGAAGGGGGCGGGAAAAAAGGGGGTGACCTGAGTCACCCTGGAAGAGGGTTCTGACTGAATGCTCTAAGGAAACAGACAGGAAGAATGCTGTACCCACGTTGGTCATATTTTTTCCTTTCGCAGGGTGTGTGCATTATCAGTTCTGAGGCTACTTTACATGTATACTAGAGTCACCAAGAAAATACATTGCTGATGAGAGCCAGCCTCCCTTCCTGTCAGAGAAAGAAACTGGCAAAAAGAAAAAAGAAAAAGGTATAATCATACTATACCTTTACTATAATCATGACCCTTATGGTGCTGGACTGGTATCCAAGACTTAATTCAGTGTGAATTTTCATAGATACAGGAGATATGTGTGCATGTGTGCACAATACATATATCTATATGTATATGTATATATATGGAAGGATAAAAAGTAGGAGGGAAGAAGGGATGGAAGGAGTGAAGGAGGGAAGGAATGAAGGAAAAAAAAGAAATGGAAATATCAATACACTGTTGAAATACCTGCTGTGTTCCATTGCTTATCTCACGTGACCTTGGAAACTCCAAGGGGAATTTCAATTTCCACAACATGAATTTCCTGTAGAAAGACTCACTGCTAATTTTGAAGCGCTATACAGTTAAGCCTGAAACAATGGGTTGGGGTTGGGTGGTGGGGGGTTGAGGCACCAGCCTTCCCTGCCATGGAAAATCCATGTATAACCTGTAGTTGACCCTCCAGGACACTCAGTTCCTCTGTATTCACTGTTCCGCATCCATGTGTTTTTTAATCCGGCCCTGGATAGTGTAGTATTTACCAGTCATAGAAACCTGTGTGTAAGGGGAGTTCAAACCCAGCAACTGTATGAGAGCTGGATGGCATCGGGAGAGGTTACTCACCAAACCAGACGGTGTTAGGTCTTCTGTGCTGCCGCTTTCCCGCCTGCTGCCCGCCTCCATTCCTGCTCCAGGCCACACACACTCGGAGCTTTCTTCCCCCCCTTGACCTTCTCTCAGCTGTGATTCACAGGAAGTAAGCATCCGGGGCAAGGGAGTGAGAGTGGATCTCCGCGTGTTCTGCTCTGAATCCTGCAACCCACACTCCCAAGTTCAGTCCAGAGCACTGAGCCCACCAGTGTCCAGCCCACCTGGACCCACAGAAATGCCGCCAAGGTGACATTACCCCAGGCCAACCAAAACTAGAATGCAAGTCAGTCGCCTGCATTTATGAGGATGCCACTGAATAATCAAAGTACATTTATTTTTGAATTACTAGTCAGAATCATGACAGAGAACTCTTATGTGATAGAAACAGTAGTAAAATACAGTACACAGCAATGTCGTTTGAATGATATCAAAGACAAATGGTACATCAGCACATGAAAACAGCCACTTTAACTACAAAGATGAAGAAATTTAATAGGAAATTTTGTTACTAAGAAAAATATATGTCCCATATCTTTATTACATACTGTACAAAATAAAATATTGCACCTATAAGTCATATAAAAATATATACAAAGAGTATTGTACAAATGCTCTCTCTTTTAACTTAAAAACCTCCAGCAATCAAGTGTGATTGGTGATGAACAACTCAGGGGCTGGCATGTCCTTGTCACATCCCCACACCCACTCCCCACCGCCACACCCTCCAGTACAGTAGCGCTCATCCAGGTGTCGGTGAGGCTGCAGTGACAAGAGCTGCGGTGCTCAGGATACGGCAGGGACTCAGCAAGCTTGTCCAGACACACCCAAAGCCAGAGCGCACTGTTCACCTACGTGTGGCCAGGGGCTAGGGCCAGCACACCTGCCTCAGCAGACTCTGCTGCCACAGGCCGCAGGGCAGGCAGCTGTGACTCTGAACAAAGACGTATGACCACTTATTTGGGGCTGGGTGCCAACTAATGCCGTAACTGGTAAGATGGAAGGAAAGAGCCCCCTAACCAAATCAGCTTTAGAACATATAACATTTACTCCAAACTTCATCTTCACCCCGACACCATCACTGACCCCAAACCCAAACCCAAACCAACTCTGACCTAACCCTAATCCATAAAGTCAACTGCAGCCTCAACCCCAACTCACCTTCCATTCTCAACTAACCCAACCCTGAAACTAAAACCAACCCTAAACTTACCAAACCCCAATTCTAACTCCTCATCCTAACTGTACATTACAGCTCAACCCTAATTCACTTTGGATTCACTGAAAAATCAGTTCAAACTAAAACAGTTATTTACTATAAATGACTCTGGTCAGCTTTCATGTTTCGTAGTTACATTACTTTCTTACAGTTTTTCCAAAATAAAAATCCTTAGGAATATTATTTTCTGCATAAATTAGGTCTTATAAGACTTTGATTTTCTGTCTGTGTGCAAGAGAATAGTGCTTAGAAAAGTCTCATTCACAGCTCTTAAAAGGATGCTTTGAACATACTTCAAAATCAGTAGACAAGGTGGACTTTCCCTCTCCTTTGAATTCTAAGATACCTCATGCGGTCACACATTTCCTTCCACAGTTGTGAAGCGGCAGCCACGTTTACTCTGTGTTTCCTTCCACAGGTTCTCTTAAGAGTGAGGACAAGGTGCCATTCCCCCCAGGACCTCCGGGTCAGTCAGGGTTCCAAACCTGTCCAGAGTGACTCTCTCACAGACGACATGTAACAATCCATAGAAATGCCATCAGAGTCAACATCTTAACGACTAGTGGCCAGAGCTTCTAAAACATAGATGCCTTATCAACCTGCTGCAACCCTAGAACTGAGGGAAGCCATCAGCTGCTGTGTTTCCCAAGTCTTCAGGATGTCCCACTCTGTGCTAGTCTACAAACAACAGGAAGAGGCAGCTAGTGACAGTGCACTGGTGACCTTGGGGGTCTCCTGAGGTCCCAAAGGGCAATGGCGTGCTTGCTACTTATGGGATTTTATGTTAGTCCTGGAATATATCACTTAAAAGATTTAGAATTAAAAACCAGTCATGGGGACATGACAGCATCCAATGTTAACAGTGGTGATTTTGCATTGACTTCAGTTTGATCGTAGAATCGAGACTTTTAGAGAAGTATTACAAATGTTTTGGAATAAGCTACATGGGGGAGAAAGAGCTTTTACATTTTTGTTTTACCTTCACAGCAGCATAATGACCCCCACAAAGTTTTATCCTTCTTGACACGACTGACAGCACCTTCGTTTGTAGCGGTCTAATGAACACAAATGAAGATGCTTTACAAACGTACAGTAGTGAGTTGTGTCTGTGCAGTCTCCTGAAAAAAAAATATATATACATATCCATTTAACACGGAGCTCATTAGAGACCTAGTTTTATGAAGAGTAGAAACAGATCACACAGTGAAGCAAAGTAACTAGGCTTGGGTTAGAGTCAGTGCTCTGCGCTAGAGTCAGAAGCGCCCTGAGGGCTTCCCTGGCGGCTCAGTGGATAAGAATCTGCCTGACAATGCAGGAGATACGGGTTCAGTCCCTGGTCCAGGAAGAACCCACATGCCATGAGGTAACTAAGCCTGTGAACCACATGGGCCTATGCTCTAGTGACTGGGAGCCACAACTACTGAGCCCACGCACCCTAGAGCTCATGCTCCACAACAAGAGAAGATATTTCAATGAGAAGTCTGTGCACTGCAACTGGAGAGTAGGTCCCGCTTGCCACAGCTACAGAGAAAAAGCCTGTGCAGCAACAAAGACCCAGTGCAGCCAAAAATAATAGATAAATAAATAACATTAAAAGAAGAGTGCCCTGGACCCACTTCTTAGCTAGGCCAGGTGGCTTCTCGCTGCCCTGTGGGGACTTCAGATCCCTCGGGCCACCTGCTCCTCTCACTAGCTTTGGGGGCGTCATGGACCCTGGGAAAGACTTACCAAAGCTATGGACTTGCTTTCTAGAAAAATACGTACATGATTCCATTTCACATAGAACTTCAGGACACTGGCATGCCTGCCCAACCCCATCCGGGGAAGCCCTGGCAGAGGGGCTGAGATTCCAGGCAGGAGGAATTCTGTGGAGAGGTCATTGGTGTCTGCGAGAAGGCCACTGGTCACCACTCCCTCAACTGGTTTTTCTCTAAAGAACACCGAGCCACACCCACATCAAAGCAGCTACTCTCCCAACATTCCAAGATCCCACACCCCTTCAGAATGACCCTATGGATGAGACCCTGAAGGTTGGCTCCCTGAGGTCAGGTTAGGACAAGGTTTGGGGGCGGCTGTGATACCTGCGAGGGGTACGTACTGTCACAGGAAGGCCCCAGGCAATGCTGCCAGGAAGCAGGTTTCTTCCCTGGTGCACAGCGTGTCTTAGTCACCGGCTTGCAGCTCCCTGGGTGGACACAGTCAACTTTCCGAGACTGGAAGCCTCGGCCACAGGCTGTGGTGCAGGGCTTCCAAGGGCCTGCACGCCAACATGCGTCACAAGCTCCCAACAAGCAGTTCCTCTGAATGATAGGTCTGTGATGAAAAAAAAAAAAACAAACAAAACAATGGAAAATGGGAGAAGTCTGGGATCAACTCTTTCACTGTACCGACTTTTCAATATATGAAAGGTCTGACAGTTAGGACGTCATTCACTGATTTGCACTGTTCCTGGCGGACTAAGCAAAGAGGTGAAGGAATCCGGACCTTAATGAAGACAAGCAAAGCACATGTTTCCATGAGCCTCCGACACCCATTCAAGGCCTGTACCCCAAAAGGCCACTCTCCAGGGAGAACAAGATGGCAGAGGAATAGATGGGCATGGAGTACCTCTCCACGGATACATCAGGGACACACAAAAGTATTCAGACACAAAAGTGCCTGCAGAACACCAACTGAGAGAGGACAGGAGTACCTGACAAGAGGAAAAGAATATATCAGTTCAGTTCAGTCACTCAGTCGTGTCCGACTCTTTGCGACCCCAAGAATCACAGCACGCCATGCTTCCCTGTCTATCACAAGCTCCCAGAGTTTACTCAGACTCATGTCCATCGAGTCGGTGATGCCATCCAGCCATCTAAAGACTATATAGAACCATGCAAAACTCAGTAGGATGAAGAAACTAGGGGAAAAAAACTGGAGTGTTAGTAAGACTGGACCTGCCCTTACCTGCCCTTCGCGCGTGCGTGAAATGAAGCAGGAGGCAGGGGTCCCATCCCCACATCGGGGCAACTGTCTGAGTCAGAGGAGAAATGTTTAAGGTTGAGAGTGAAACAGCTGATCTGTGGCAGCCTAAATGGAATGAGAATCAGACAGTCCTTGCCACAGCCATACATACCCCAGACAGGGATGCAGGTCCCCTGGAAGGTGCAGCAGCTGGGAGATGGAGTTCAGGGATTGTGGAGCAATCCCAGATCGAGGGCTGCTGTTGACTTCGGAGAGATGGAGTGAAGGGAGGTGAGGGAGGAGATTGTGGTGGGAAATGCCTGTGGAGGAACGCCAGGCAGCCATGGAAGCAAGGCGATACTGCTGAGTCACGCGTAGAGGATGGAGCCATCACCATAGCCTCTCCCCACATGCCAGCATCAGCAGCTGAATATAGAGAGCCTGGCCTGTCAAACGCCTAACACACTGAACTACAGTGTAGGACCCCAGCCAGGGTGCCCCTTTAAGTGTCTGCTGTGCCAGTCTACACAGTAGGACCCCAGCCAGGGTGCCCCTTTAAGTGTCTGCTGTGCCAGTCTACACAGTAGGACCCCAGCCAGGGTGCCCCTTTAAGTGTCTGCTGTGCCAGTCTACACAGTAGGACCCCAGCCAGGGTGCCCCTTTAAGTGTCTGATGTGCCAGTCTACAGAGTAGGACCCCAGCAAGGGTGCCCCTTTAAGTGTCTGATGTGCCAGTCTACACAGTAGGACCCCAGCCAGGGTGCCCCTTTAAGTGTCTGCTGTGCCAGTCTACACAGTAGGACCCCAGCCAGGGGGCCCCTTTAAGTGTCTGCTGTGCCAGTCTACACAGTAGGACCCCAGCCAGGGTGCCCCTTTAAGTGTCTGCTGTGCCCATCTACCCAGTAGGACCCCAGCCAGGGGGCCCCTTTAAGTGTCTGATGTGCCAGTCTACAGAGTCGGACCCCAGGCAGGGGGGCCCCTCTGTGTGCCTGACATGCTGAGCAACAGAGAAGGTCCCCAGGCAAGGGAGCCGTCTAAGTGCCAGATCCAGTGGAGCCGCGGAGAAAGACTGGCCAAAGAGACCTTCTGACTGCCAGCTACAACAGGCTTGAAGAAAGCTTCTGAGAGGGCCATAACTCCTGTGGAAGAGGTAGTTCATGCCCCTGCACACCTGGCGCCACCAGGGTCCCCACAAGCCAAGCTGCTGCGCCTCCTTCATGCTCAGCTCTCACTGGCAGAGCTGCCACAGGCAGAAAAAGTCTTGTGTCTGTGCACACAGGGTCGCTTTGGTTGTGTCCGACTCTTTGCGACCCTGTAGACTGTGGCCTGCCAGGCTTCTCTGTCAGGGAGTGGGGTTCTCCAGGCAAGAATACTGGAGCGTATTGGCCAATATGGGTTGCAATACCCTTCTAGAGCACTATATTTTCTGCTGCCTTAGCCACCAATTCCCCTGAGTACCTCGTGCTGCCAGAATGCCTGTGACCCAAGCAGCTGCACCACCTCCACACCTGGCCCTCACTGGGGCAGACCCAAGTCCTCCAGGGCAACCTCAGGAGCAAACCCCAGTGGAAGACCCACATGCAGAGGTTGAAATAAAACCACAATTGAAACCCAGGGGCAGTGTGGCTAAGGAAGAGGACCCAAAACCTTCCCACCAGCTGTACAAGCTGCAGATTGAATTCACACAATCAATTAGGCAGATTCTGTGTCTATGGAATATATAAAAGGTCATTGAGAGCTCCCACAGAAGAAAATGCACTAGTTCTGACAGCTGTGGACATTGGAGGCAAGAACACACAGGAGAAGGACCAGATTAGAATCTGAGCTGCCCCCATAGCAGGCCCAGAGATCAGCACAGTGTTGGAAGACATCCTAGGGAGGGGAGGTGGACTGTGACTCCCAGCGAGGGAAAGGACTCTGATAGCAGGGACTCAAGAAAAACTCATGTTTTGACTTGTTCTGTCAATTCTTTTTTTTTTCTTTTTTCTTTTTTTCCCTCCCCCCCCCAACCTGTTGTAGTTGTCGGCTTTATTGGCACTATGAAATCTAATAAGCTTTTGAGGTGTTTTTTTTCCCTCAGTCACATTTTTTTATTGTTGTTATAAACCTCTGCCTCTACGTTGGGCTTTTGCAGTTCTGTGGAGCTTTCTTTTTTTTTTTTTTTTTTGCTTCTTTTCTCTTTTTTTATTTTAATTTTTTAAACCTATTATTATTTTTTCTACATTTATTCCTTTGCTTTTCCTACTGTTCTTTGCCCCTTGCAGTTAATCTTGAATGTATATAAATCTTCTACATCTACCTCTATTTAACTTTGCATATCTATTCTTTCTTTCCTTTCCTCTCAACATTTTGTTAGTTTTATTTTCATTGCTTCATTCTCCAATTGGCACCTTGCTTTAGTTTAGTTTTCCAGTTTGTGCTTTAGTGAGTTTTGTTCTTAAGTGGTAGATATAATTTTTGGTTTCCTTTGTTTGCAGGATCAATCTATTTTACCTTATTTTTGTTGGACAGTTTTGATTTTGGTCTTGGGTGTATATGTATATGTGTATATTCCATTATTTTAATTATTATTTGCCTGATTTTGTAACTGCAGTTTGTCTGGGATACATCTTTGGTTTCTCATTTTTGGATATTTGTTTTAATTTCACTTAATGCCGTAACAAACCACTTGCGGAATCTTCATTCCTGACCAGAGATCAAGCCCTGAGCCTTTAGAGTGGAAGCACTGACTTCAATACCCTAGACTACCAGAGAACTAACTCAAGGGAGTATCAAATAGTGAGAACTCACACAAAGGAAACCACTTGAATACAAAACCTGGCATCACCCAACCACCAGATGAGGTTCTTCACCTCATCTAAACAACGAACAGAAGTACAAACCCAGTCATGCAGACAGGATTACCACCTCACTCAGCCTTGCCAATCAGAGGAAAAACAAATAAACAAAAAAAAACTCAGCACAAATCTCACCCTATACGAAGCTTACACAAACCACTGAACCAACCTTAGGAGGGAAGAGACCAAAAAGAAGAAACAATTCAACCTTGAAGCCTGGGAAAAGGAGACCTCAAACATAATAAGTTAAAAAAATAAAGAAAAGGCAGAGAAATACTACACAAATGAAGGAACAAACTAGAAACACAAAAGTCTAAATAAATGAAGATGAAACAGGCAAACGACCTGAAAAATAATTCAAAAACAATGATAGTAAAGATGATCAAAAACTTTGAAAACAGAGTGGAGAAAATGCAAGAATCAATTAACAAAGATCTAGAAGAATTAAAGAATAAACATACAAACAACATAATTACTGAAATTTAAAATACTCTAGAATGAATCAATAGATTCCTGAAGCAGAAGAATGAATCAGTGAGCTGGAAGATAAAATGGTGGAAATAACTTCTGAAGAGCAGAATAAAGTAAAAAGAATGAAAAGAACTGAGGATAGTCTCAAAGACTTCTGGGACAATAAAAAATGCACCAACATTCAAATTATAGGGGCCCCAGAAGAAGAGAAAAAGAAAGGGTATAAGAAAGTTTTTGAAGAGATTATAGTTGAAAATATCCCCCAAATGGAAAAGGAAATAGTCAATCATGTCTAAGAGGCATAAAAAGTCCCATACAGGATAAACCCAAGGAGAAACACACCTAGACACATACTAATCAAACTAACAAAGACTAAACACAAAGAAAGAATATTAAAAGCAGCAAGGGAGAAGCAACAAGTAACATACAAGGGAAACCCCATACACTTAACAGCTGATCTTTCAGCAGAAACTCTGCAGGCCAGAAGGGAATGGCAGGATATATTTAAAGTACTGAAAGGAAAAAATCTACAGCCAAGATTACTGTACCTGACAAGGATCTCATTCAAAATTAATGGAGAAATAAAATGCTTTTCAGACAAGCAAAAGTTAGGAAAATTCAGTACCACCAAACCAGCTTTACAACAAATGTTAAAGGGACTTATATAGTCAAGAAACACAAGAGAAGAAAAAAGATCTACAAAATCAACCCTAAACAATTAAGAAAATGGCAATGGGAACATATATATCAATAATTACTTTAAAAGTAAACAGATTAAATGCTCCAACCAAAAGACACAGATTGGCTGAATGGATATAAAAACAAGACCCACATATATGCTGTCTACAAAAAACTTCAGACCTAAAGACACATATAGACTGAAAGTGAGAGGATGGAAAAATATATTCTATGCAAATGGCAAGCACAAGAAAGCTGGAGTAGCAATCCTCATATCGGGCAAAATAGACCTTAAAATAAAGAAGATTACAAGAGATAAGGAAGGAAACTACATAACGATTAAGGGATCAATCCAAGAGGAAGACATAACAATTGTAAATATTTA